CCAGCATTACCCCACATAAAGGTGGACTGCGACAAAGGAAAATAACAAAGAAGAGCGGGTGGGAGGGGAGGAGGTAAAAAAGATCCAAAAGGAAGGCTGAGAAGAATCCAGAGGTGAATCCAGCTGATAGACCTGATGCAGTTACCTCACAGATGTCTATGCAAATCTCAACAAAACTAGTGCATGCACTACTTTAGAAATCGGTGCGGTTCCGACCAAATCAGAACCACACCAATATGACCGCTCTGACAGCGGACAATAGGCATAAGATTTGCAAGTTGCCTGGCATCCAAATCGCATGCCAAGTCGCACCTGATGTGACCAGGGGCTTACAGACAAAGAACCTGCCATCTTAACCTTTTTTTGATCTGCAGTTGTCATTGCTGATCTGTTGTGTGAGCTGTGTGATCAGTTAAGACACCAGCCATTCCATGAAGTAACTATTAATATTCACGGAATGCACTACCTTCCACCCACTTTCTATACAATCTGATTGTGCAATCTCCTTTAGATTTCCCATCAGCTATGAACCTGCCTGATTTGATACAAATTGAATGGATTGTGGGGTTTATCCTCGTATTTCATAGTTCTGGTAAGTCTAAAGGAAATAGTACAAAGATTGTACAATCAGATTGCATAGTATATGGTCACCTTTATACAAGTACATAAGAGGGAGTGGATGGAGACACTCAGTTGTCAGGCCCCATTCACATGTCCACGTAGAGAAAACTCACATTACCGCACGCGTTTGTTTTGGGTGTTTTGGAGCACATTTGCAGCATGTTTCTGAAACGCAGGGCACAGCAAGCATTTTCTGTGCAGTTTGCCATGCGATCAGAAACACACAGATGTGAATGGAGCATCATTGGTTTTGTGTAAGCAGACTGCTTCACTTTCAGGCCCCATTCACACCTGGAGTAGTGAGAGCACGTTTTTCAGCTCGTTTTTTCAGTGACACATATAGGGCAGCCAGGACATGTGCTGTTTGTTTCATTCCCAACAGAAATTCGGACACATTCTTCGTTATTTGGAGATTCAGATGTATCCGAATTTTTTCTAATTTTAATAGTTACAAATCTGAAATAACAAAACAAAGCTTGGACAAAATTTTAATCAAATTTGACTAGAAGTCGAATCAAATTTGACAAGAAGTCGAATCAAATTCGACTTGAATTCGAATTAAAAAAGAATAGAATAGAAAAGAATAGAATACAATACAATATAAAAGAATAGAACAGAAAAAAAACTATATAATAGAATATAACTGTCTTACGTAATTCGAATTTCGAATAGAATACATTTGAATTCGAATAGATTAGAATAGAAAAGAAAATAATAGAATAGAAAAAAACAATAGAATAGAATAAAATAGAAAGAATATAACTATCTTCCAAAATTCGAATTTCAAATAGAATAGATTGGAACAGAATAGAAAAGAAAATAATAGACGAAAACAGAATAAAATAGAAAAATACAATAGAATAGAATAAAATAGAAAGAATATAACTATCTTCCAAAATTCAAAGTTCGAATAGAATAAATTCAAATTTGAATGGAATACATTAGAATAGAAAATAAAAGAATAGAACAAAAAACAATACAATAGAGTAAAATAGAATATAACCATCTTCTGAAATTCTAATTTCAAATAGAATAAATTCAGATTCGAATGCCAATTCAAATTTTCCGAATTTGAAAATGAAGAGTAATTAAACGAATTCCAAAAACGAATTAAACAAATTTAACTAAACAAAATTATTTAAAAAGCAAATCAAAACAATTTTTTTTTGCTCTGCACATGTCTAGCCGGTTGATTTCAATTGGCTGTGCTACACATGGCAAAACAGCTCATGGGATATTTTGGCGTGGTGCGAGTTGCAAGTTTTTAACTGCATGATTTACTGCATTTGTCACCCGTTTTTTTTTCATGTGGCAAAATGTGTGTTTGCTTCTGTGTTTGGTGTGCATTAACAATTAATGACACTGAAAGCTCAAATAGGTAATTTTAGGTGTATAGATGTGACCATACACTTTACAATCTGATTGTACAATCTTCTATAGATTTACCAAAATGATATAATAGGACGACACACCATGTCTTCAATCACTCTGTATCCAATCAGCAAGCCTGAAGGGACGTTGGGGAAGCCAGGCAAATGCACGTGTGTGGAGATGCTGTGAAAAAATAGTTGATGGGTGAGGGTGTGTGTTTTAATGAGGTCAGCGCAGGATGTGTGTGCTATTGAGGTCAGCTGGTAAACTCCTTCTTGTGTCTTACTGGCTTCTCTGTCCTAGATTTAAATACCAGCAAATGATGACGCTTTCTAAGAAATAAAGCAAGGGCTAAGGTAAGGCCTTGTTCTCAAAAATCAAAGAACAGTTTTATTTTTTTGCAACTGAGGTACATTAACCACTTACCCTCCAGAGGATTTCCCCCTTCCTGACCAGGCCATTTTTTGCGATACGGCGCTCCATTACTTTAACTGACAATTGCGCGGTCATGCAATGCTGCACCCAAATTCAATTTTGTCCTTTTTTTCCCACAAATGGAGCTTTCTTTTGATGATATTTAATTGCCTCTTTATTTTTTGTGCTATAAACAAAAAAAAACTAAATTTGACTTTTTTCTATAAACCATATTGAGTAAAAAAAGTAAAAAAAATCAAATTTTGTCATAAATTTAGGCCAAAATGTATTCTGCTACATGTCTTTGATAAAAAAAAAAATCCCAATATGTGTAAATTAATTGCTTTACATGCAAAATATAGCGTCCAAATGGTGGTATAGCTACACACTGGAGTTTTTTTTTTTCATTTGTTTTATATTAGTAATGGTGGCGATCATCAACTTAAGCTGGTTCTGACACTGGGGGGAACTAACTGTGTCCCCACTGTAATACAGTTCAATTAAAGTGGCCAGGCATCTGGGGCGATCAAAGGGTGTGTGTGTTTTTTAAAGTGTGCTCTGTGTAAACTGTGTAAACACATTGCTTCATATTGCTCTAGTATGCAGAGCAATACAAAACAGTGTGCAGGAGCTGACAGGGGAGAGATCTTTGTTGTTTACATACAGACCTCTCCTCTCGTCAGTGATACTCGTCGATCACCGGTTGCCAGCAAGGATTCACCAGCCAGGACCTGGTGATCGGCAGCTGAGGCCGCTGTTGATCCTCAGTGACACTAATACAGTGATCAGTGCTAATAAAAAGCACTGACACTGTACTAATGACACTGGGCAGGAAGGGGTAAACATTTGGGGCGATCAAAGGGTTAACTGTGTGCTGTTTTACTATGTGTGCTGTGTGTGTTTTACTATGCAGAGAAATACAAAGCAGCATGCTGGTGCTGATAGGGGAGAGATCTGTGTTGTTTACATACAGACCTCTCCCCTGTCAGTGTTCCTTGGCGATCAATGGGTTCCAGTAAGGAATCCCTGGCCAGGACCTGGTGATTGACAGCTGTAGCCAGCAATGGCGGTGCAGATAGGGAGGTGCACGTGCCCCCTATCTGGAAATGCAAAATCATGTATATATATATATATGTAGCAGGCTCCTTGTACAAGAGGATTCAGAAGGAATCACATGATCAGCAGTCAGTCCTTTCTCTCTCTCTCCTATTTGTAAAACCTGGGCATTCTGCCAAGTTCATGACTCATCCACTACACAGCAAAGAACGCTGGGAGAGGGAGGGAAGCAGGAAGTGAAGGGGAGAGGGGAGAGACATGAGGCTGGAGAAAAGACAGGGACACGTGGAGCCCGTCCAAGCAGAGGAGGAGGCACTACAGCACCCAGAGCGGATAGAGGGACCCTGCTGTGTGTTCAGAGTCTGGTGAGCTGTCCCCCTGGAGAGAGTAAGACACACCATTTACACTTTGCATATAGACTAGGAACATCCGCACCCCACTGCTGGGATCTCACCCATCCGGGGCCCTGTGCAAGCCACAGATCCCCCTGCCTGCTTTGCCCCTCACCACCAGTGTAATTGAGACTGTCTGCCCCGGGGACTGACACATGCTGGGAGATTGCATCCTGCGACTGCCCCTGGTCTTGGGGTGCTTTGTGTTGCATTTAGACACTGAGGTTGGACCCTCTCAGCCCAGAAACCTAGTGAAATTGGATGTAACCCACACCAGCTGAAACTCCAAAGAAGCCTTCAGCTGCTATTTACTTCATTGTAAGGACTAAACGTGCACCAACTAGAGCTCCACCGTTACAAGGACTAGAGTGGGGGAATCTGGCTTAGTAGCCTTATTAGAGGTACCTCTTTATTGCATTCTGTTCTGACTCTGAGGTGATTTTTGGCTAACGCCCCTCAGAAGCAGAATCATACACCGGTGTGGGTAATACATTTCATTGATAGAGTATAAGTAAGTTTATTTGTTTGATATCAGTCGACTCCATCCGGAGACTCTTGGCTGTGAAGCCCTCTAGTGGCAGACCAAATTTACTGCATTGCATAAAAGAAGAAAAGTAAGTTTTGAAGTTGAAAGGGGAACCCCACCCCTCTACACTGCATTTCATTCTCCATAAAATTGTTCTTGTTTCATTTAACCCTGTGTCAGCAAATTTCTTGGTGGGGTATTTGCTATTCATTACCAGTTGTGCCAGAGGGATTGGGTTTGCTACATATATATATGTGATTTTGTGCAGCCCTCCAGCAGTTCTATAGGGTGATCGGGAAACGGTTAATGATATGTTGGCACATAGGGGAGCTGGATTTTAGAAAAAAAAAGGGGAAACTTTGATCAAGTTTTCTGCATCTGCTATTATGTCTGTTCTCATACCTCCCAGGTCTTCACTGGATAAATAAACAGAATTCCCAATTCACCCAACTGCTGGTGCCCTAACAAATGCTGCTATCCCCTGTCCTACTGGACTTTTGATAATGTAAAGTAAGGTAGTGACTGGAGAGTCCAGCAGCAACAGACTCAGACCTTTCAACATGGTTTGCCAAAAGAGACAGATACAGTGACCTTTTCTGGGAAAGCTTGTCATTGCAATCACTGAGAAACAAAAATCTGATGTGGAACTCAAGCCATGAGTGCTCATGCAAAACTAAAATAACAGTTTAGCCAAGGGGAGGACTGACAATTCATGGGGCCCCCGGGCAATAGGGGATCATGGGGCCCCTATGTTCTCTCCCACACCCAAAAAAAAAGCCTATGAAAAAGCCAGTGAAAGGTACCAGGGGCATCTCATGGGGCCCCCTACTGACCCCGGGCAGTGCCCGAGTGCTCGAATGCTCAGTCCGCCCCTGGTTTAGCCTCATGTGTTTGAAGTGCAGACACGTTTACTGATCTAGGTGGATAAAAGTAGCTCCTTTCATGCTAGAGGTCCGATCAGATCTGGCTGTCTGGAGCTCAATGCTAGTCTATGGGGCTGGCAGATGTAAACAGAAGTGTGTCTATTTACAACCTTATAACGTCAAGTCCATTTAGGTCCAAAAAAATCCCCCAAAAAACAGAAAAGGTCTTCCTACTTTTCTGAACATCTATTTACATCCCCCTGCCCACAGAGCTAATATGACTCCCTGAGTTCCCTCCATTAGGAGGGAAAAAAGTGAATAAAAGCAGATTTCTCAAAAGTGACATTCATCCTGCTCAGCTACAGTTAAAGAGTTAGTAAACCCAGGACTCTGCATTCACTATATCTGGTCTCCCACAGTACACAGAACATGGAAATGCAATTATTTTAGTAAATATAAACTACTAAATACTTTTTCTCATCAGCAGTTAGAGCAATCTTGTGACTCCTGTCAGTGTCCAGCAGAGCACTGGTTAAAGCTTGTAGGAGGAGTTTTTATTCCACTCTAGGAGGATGTGAAAATCCCAACCCTCTGTCTGGACACTGCTGATTGGTCCTGTGCAGATCCATGCACCATCCCAAGAAAAGAAAAAAAAACACTCTAGCAATACACACAAAACTGAGCATGTGTATGTGACCACGGGTTCAGTCTGTATCAGGTGATCTTTTCAACAAAAGGAGGATCAGAGAAAACAGGTTCCCCAGTGAGTATAACAAGCATGCTTTACTGCATACACAGACTGATTTTACTGTTACGGGTTTAGTAACACTTTAAGCAGGGAGTCTGTTCATGGATCCCCTACTGATTGGAATGGACATGGCCGATGTGAAAGGGCTCTAAGCAAATGATATTGTATTGGGTAATGATGAAATGGTGCCCATGCTACTTTTGCTTAAAGCTAAATTCCAGGGATGATATATTTTGCATACTAACACTGAGCCAGCTTGGACCAATAGGTAATCATATGTGATACCTGATTGACCTCCTTTAATCACAGTAGTGGCCCGCCCTGCTACCATGATGGCCACAGTCCTCTGAATGCTGCTTTTCCGCATAATAGCCACAGGGGAATGATTCAGGGAATGCCTGATATTTTTCTAAGTGTTCTTTGGTTGTGCAAGGTAGAGATTGTGATGTCACTGCCCTGCCTTGTCCAATCAGAAAATGCTTTGTATTCATTGAGAAAAAATGTCAGGCGTTCTCTCAATGGCAGCTGCACTGAGTGAGTAGGCAACCCCCTGTCCCCTGTTGTCACTATGCAGAAGAGCCACCATTCAGCACAGCCCCTGGAAGACTGTGGCCATCACTGTTGTATTTTGGGCTACTGCAGTGATTTACAGATTCCATGAGGCAGATCAGGTATAACCTATTTATATTTACATTGTGCCAATGTGGCCCGGAGTGAAAAATGTACCATTCCTAGAGTTCAGGTTTAAGTGGCAGGAGAAGGAATGCTGATTGTATATAGTTGCATATACAGTATACAGGATATATATATAGAATATATATATGTACAGGTGTGCTTACAAACGCCTCAGTTAACGTAAGTTTCGGTTTACGAATGAAAATCCATTGAAAATAATGTCTTGGTTCACAAAGTTTTTACGAATTTTTTTCACAATACGAAGTGTATGTCAGTGCTGATTTTTAAATGCAATTGCTGCCTTTTTTTTTCACTATAGCTCACAGAATTACCTGTCACTTTCCCCGGAGTTAAAGGATACTTTGTTTCTTTTATGTCGGGAAACAAACTAAAAGGAAACATTGTTTCTTTTAACTCAGGAAAATAAACTAAAAGGAAACATGGTTTCTTTTAACTCAGGAAAACAAACTAAAAGGAAACATTGTTTCTTTTAGCTCGGGGGAAACAAACTAAAAGGAAACATTGTTTCTTTTAACTTGGGGAAACAAACTAAAAGGAAACATTGTTTCTTTCAACTCGGGGGGAAACAAACTAAAAGGAAACATTGTTTCTTTTAACTTGGGGAAACAAACTAAAAGGAAACATTGTTTCTTTCAACTCGGGGGGAAACAAACTAAAAGGAAACATTGTTTCTTTTAACTGGGGAAATAAACTAAAAGGAAACTTTCTTTATTTTAGCTGGAGGGGAAGTGACCGGCAGTGACCTATAGTGACAGCAACTTTTTTTTTTTCACTTTTTTCTGACCTCCGGAACGGATTATTTGGTTTTCAGTGCATTTCTATGGGAAACCGTGTTTCGGTTTACAAATTTTTCGCAAGAGAACGCATTAAATTCTTAAACCGAGGTACACCTGTACTTGTAACTCCCTCTGTGTTAGTAAAAGAATAGCCTGGTTGTGGTTTTCCACCATTCTGCCATTAGAGGGAGCAGAGTGAACCCACATGGCACAGCTCCCAGGCTGAACAATAGTTCCTTGTTTTTTTCCACAAGTTGGTGCTCTTCAGCTGCTTGTGGAATGCAGACAGCCTACGCCCTTCTACACTTCCAAGCAATGTGCATAGACTACAATGTGCTGCTTCTGGAAGAATGTCAGACTAAAATGCAGGTTGGACCGCAATGCTCACAAGTTATCCAATATGTGTTAAGCTTCTATGGGTTTTATTCCTCTGCAGAAAAAAAATGTCTAGGCTGCCATTGTTGACCTTTATTTAAAATGCTGGCTGCCTTGCTGGGGCGTGATGAATTAGCACAGAAGTAGCCATGTTAGTAAGTCAGAAAGCCCTGAATAAAGCAGAAGGCATTCTAACCTCCCTTGTGCTGGGTCACTGACTCTGGAGTGATTGAAGCTGAACACTCATTGCAAGCTAAGATTTCCAGAAGATCAGCCACCACTGCCTGCATAAGTACCAAACTGTGTTTTGCTGATTCGGCTCAACACCCACTTGATGTTCATAGCATTGTGCATGCTGAACAACCTCCATTTATCTCTATGGTGAATGCAAGGTTTAATCCTGTTGCTGCCAGAGCAACCTTTTTTTCCATATTAAAATGCACATTTAGGGCTGAAGATTATTAACCACTTGCCCTCCAGAGGATTTACCCCCCTTCCTTCCAGGCCATTTCTTGCAATAAGGCGCTTCATTACTTTAATTGACAATTGCGCGGTCATGCAACACCACACCCAAATTAAATTTATGTCCTTTTTTTCCTCGCAAATGGAGCTTTCTTTTAGTGATTTTTGATCGCCTGTGCAGTTTTTAATTTTTTGCGCTATAAACAAAAAAGGCCGACAATTTTTTGAAATAAAAAAACAACAATATTTTTTACTTTTTGCTATTAAACATGTCCAGTAAAAAAATGTAAAAAGTCAAATTTCATCATAAATCTAGGCCAAAATGTATTCTGCTACAGGTCTTTGCTCAAATAAAATCCCAATACATGTAAATTAATTAGTTTACATGAAAGTCATAGTGTCTACAAATGGTGGTATATATACTGGAATTTGTTTTTTTATACTAGTAATGGTGGCGATCAGCAACTTACTTCAGGACTGCAGCTGGCATTCTGACACTGGGGGGAACTGACTAATAAAAAGCACTGACACTGTACTAATGACACTGGCCAGGAAGGGGTTAACATCTGGAGCAATCAAAGGGTTAACTGTGTGCTGTTTTAAAGTGTGCTGTGTGTATGTTTTACTGTGTAAGCACATTGCTTCTTATTGGTCTAGTATGCAGAGCAACACAACTGAACAGGAACTGACAGGGGAAAGATCTGTATTACATAGTTTGGCCTTTGGCCTTGTTTAGACTTTCATTTGAGGGTGGCAAAAATGCACATTTGAGATGTGGTTTTTGCCGCCTGCCCAACACCCCCTTAAGCTGCAATAAGCAGTGGACAGGATGATGATGCTGTGATGCTTCACGCCCATGGCAAGTTAACCCAACGTGTTGCGACGCTTTACACCGTACATTACATATTCAGGTCAATGGGGAAGCACCACAAACGCCCCGCAACCTTGTGCAATGCATGCAGTTGTGATGCATTTGTTGGTAAAATGGGGTTAAAACAGGCGGTTTGGAGGCATTGCATTGCTTCCTCACATCCTGTCAGTAGCCACTGAAGCACAATCTGAATGCGGGTCAGGCTTCAGAAGCAAGGGGGATTTAGGCATATGTCTAATTTTCCTCTTACTCTGTTTTTTTATTTAAATTCTTTTTACAACTTTTTTTTGTGTAGAGGTACATTTTTATTTTTTTAATGTTTTCTTACATTTTTTTTTGGGGGGGGGGGGGGCTTTGAAAAGACATCGGGGTCTAAACAGATTTCTCTTTTTGAAACAGAGAAAGTAACTACAGACTGCTGCTCTTTGCACCCCAATGCATCTCAGCCCACAGCGAGATCACGGGTGCAGGAACTGCTTGGTATTTTTTTCCCTGCACATGTGTTTTGAAAAAGGTGCATGCACCTTTTTTTTGTATTAAAAAAGCCGTCACGGCAGCCCATCCAAATGAATGGGCTGCAGTGCCCATGCAAGCACGGGCCACGCAGCCTACACTAGTGTTAACCTAGCCTTAAGTTATTTATTTTACAATTTATTTTTGTTAACGAAATGTTTTGGAGAGGCACCAAGGGTCTAAACAGACCTCTAATGTGTCGCTTTTAAGACAGAGAAAGGGACTGAAGACAGTCCCTTTCTCTGCAGCCTGAGCTGCACTGTAGATGAATGGATAGGAGTCTGTATAGACTCCTATGCATTCATAAAATTAAACATAGTACACAGTGTTTACTATGTTTCATTCACAAAACTGACAC